CACACACACACACACACACACACACACACACACACACACACACACACACATTCAGATCATTTAAACATTAGGAGAACCAAACTCTTCATAACATGCAGCGTTAAAGCTGAAGTTTCCTCAGTAAGAACTATAAATGCGGCTCAGATCTGATCCCAGTTCAGTTAAACCTGAAACTTTTTGCTGTTGGAGTCATAAAAACAAAGACTTCATGGAGGCCCAACGAGTTCAGTATTAACAGAGTTTTAGTTTTAATAATGAATCCAAATGTTACAACAACTTGATAAAAAGTTGGAAGTGTGTCTGTGGTGAGAGTGAGTCTGGCATTTCCAATGATTCAATCAGATAAAAGTGCTGAATGAAAGTTTGTCTGCTGTCAGGAGGAAAGGTTTCCCCTCCTCTTCTTCCATGTGGAGTCTTTTGTTCCTTTTAGTTCATGAATAAATGAAAATCATAGAAATGTCAGATTTTCTACTATTTTTCAGCTTCCACTGGAGCGTCTTTGTTTAACGGGCTGACCACAGGAAATATATTTATCCAAAGCTTGTTTCGGTAATTATATGCAAATTATTTAAGTATCCAGATTTGTTTGGGCTGACTTTGCTCTTTTCGGTCACATGCGTGTAATCTTTAATATAGTTGATTTGTCAAAATATAATATGTGCTTAAACATGGAAATGCACAACTTTCAGTCTAAGTAGATGAAAGCTGCTGACCAATCAGCTTCTGTTGTCACAGCATGAATGGATGGAAACAAACATTCAGGCTGTAACAGTTGCTGTTGTGGCTGTTGTAATACAGTGTATCGCCACATGGTGGCGCCTCTTGTGTCATGGCTGGTAGGTCGCCCTCTTTTTCTTCTTCTTCGTTGAACCATCTCTGATATGGATCCTCCGTGTGTAGGTGCACTAGTGCGCTCTGGAGTAAGGTGTGGCAGAGCTGGCTGCTTTATTTGTAATATTTCAAACAAGCGAGTACTTGTGGAAAGTCGTGGCTCGTTCACGATCCACCTGCACACCTCCACGGCTGGCTTCATCTCCACCACACGTTACAAGGCGTTTGGTTTTCTTTGAATTTGCACAGTTTGATGTTTGATTTGATGTTTTTCATGTTGCAGCTGGTGACAGGTGTCGAGACAAGCCCCTCAGCTCCGTCCTCAGTGAACATGGCTCCTCATGGGAGCAGGTGGACCAATCACAGAGCTTCTTTCCTGAACCATTTCAGAAAGTTTGCAGACAAACGCCTGGAAGATTTCACTACGTGGTGACATTTTTATTATACGTAAAGACGTTTTTTAATGGAACTGCTGATTAAGCCATACTTTAGAGAAGATGTTTATATTTGTAATAAAAAGATGTTTTTAAAGACAATATGAAGTTATTTTGTGTCCTTATTGTGCAAACAAACAACATAAGTGTTTGTAGTTAAGTGCAAACAATCACTGTGTTACAGAATAAACATGTTGATGGACGGGGTCAGCGGCCTGGAGCTTTTCATATTTTCTCCAAATCACAAGTGTTGTTGGCTGAACTGTGAAACGTCAGCTGAAAGATTTCTATTACAGCAGAACCGTCACTGTGCAAACGTTTGCATCTGTTCATATTCAGGATCCAGGAGCGGATTTGGATCCACAGTTTAATCACAGATTTATTTGACTTGCGATACATTTTTGATTGTGCTGTTTATAGTTTTCCTCTAAATCCTGTTTGTTTGCATAAAAAAGACACAAAAGTGACAGAATAAAAACACGATTGTATGAATGAACATATTTGCAGATACATTTATATATAAACAAATAAAGATGAAGTATTTAAAGTGGACCCCAGCATCCTCCATGGTTACAATCATCAGTTTGTCAGCGACATGTTTGATTGTTTATTTGGATGTTTAACCTTCCTGTTCGAAAAAACAAAACTGCAGTCCCATCGACAACATGCTGAAAATTATTTTTTATTAAAAAATAAACATTTTCCAAAATGTTTCAGATGTAGCAGCAAAATAAGTTTGACAGAAAATCCGCATGAAGAAGAAAACACCTGGACTTCTATAGGTTTGTGAATGTGTCAGCTCGCATCCAAAAGGGCTTCCTAGCAGCGGCAGAGATGAAGAAGACGGCCGTAGCGATCGATGTAGCGGTTCCCAATGACAGCAACATCAGGAAGAAGGAACACGAGAAGCTGGAGAAATACCAAGCGCTCAGATGTGAAGGCTGTGTGCAGGCAGGAAAAGGACCCAAAATGCAGACTCACGGAAACCAAAGGTGAACTTAAATACAGCTTTAATGCTGAACTCAAAAAGTAGCAAACTTCCAAATCAACTTACGCAGACAGCCAGAAAACACAGCATGAATGAGGGTAGATCGCAACACAGACACAGAGAAACACAGGGCTTAAACACACAGGTCGTGTCCAAATTCATGGGCTGCTTCCTCCTGAGGCGCATTTGTAGACCGATTACGTCACAGCGACGCGCCGAAGGCTGTCCAAATTCGTAGACTCCTCCGAATGCAGCCGACAAATGCGTCCTCCTTTTCCCCGAATTTGAAGGATGGGTCGGGTGTGTCCTTCGTGGCCCTACCATATCCCAGAATTCATAGCGCGGCCCAGCCAAACTCCAGTTTCCAACAATGGCGGCCGCTACTAAGTTTTAAAATTACTCTTACTAATCTTTCTGGGTCACAAAATAAACTTTTAACATATTTTCAGGCGAGAAAGTAGCTTGTGTAAACATCAAATATCTGCTCGGTTTATCAAGAATCACATATTTGCAAAAGTGCTTCGACGTTTTCGGAGACGTCTGCTTACCCACCAGCTCGATAGCGAGCCGAGAGCTCGAGGGTCACTGATGCAGCCGAGAACGGCACAACTCCCGGCACATCATTTTCAGATCACCGCAGACTTTCGCTGCTCGGGTTAAACGTAATATATAAGTCACTTAGACAACCTAAAAATGTTATTGTTGGGCTTTTTTCAGTGTTTTGTTTGTTCGTGAGTAAATCGGTTTGGCTGAGATTAAAGTTATTAGATTAGATTAGATAAAATAAAACTTTATTAATCCCCCGGGTGGGTTCCTCCTTGGTTTTCACACAGCTGACTAAACGTCAAACAGAAAACTGATTAAACAGAAGTGTGAGACGGTCGAGAATTTACGCCAGTGTCCTGTTATATTTTAGATAGCACTGAGCAGACGGACGAGTTTATTAAACTCCACAGAGACAGCGGTGACGCTGATCAGAAGGCTAGACCGTCCAATTCCACAGCCGTTTACTTCCGGCCTACCCGACCTCCTCAGGAGGATGCAGCCCATGAATTTGGACACGACCACAAAGGGAGCAATCAGGGATGGGAAACAGGAAGGAAACACTGCTGGGGCAAATCAGGGCTAACGAGACAAGGGAAGCACAACCAGACACATTAACAACAGACACAGACTTTCAAAGTAAAACAGGAAACAGACTGAACTCACAGACACAGACTCACAAGCAGACACTGCAACAGAGGGAACAGAGACGTGGGACCAGGGCAGACAGACCCTGACTGGACACAGAATAGAGGGAGTAAGGAAACCAAAACCTAAGAACCACATAATCACACACCAAGAAGAACTGGGGAAAAATAGAAATGCAAAACAGAAACCAAAACCTTCACAAAAATAAACTAAGATAAGAACACAAATAAAAAGGTACAAAACTGAAACCACTGGGTCAACGACCCAGGTACCCTAACACAGAGAAGAGCGCGAGAAAATGTGGAGGGTGAAGGTAACAGTGGTCCCAGTCGGAGCACTCGGTGCAGTGACTCCTAAACTAGGCGAGTGGCTCCAGCAGATCCCGGGAACAACATCGGAGATCTCTGTCCAGGAGAACGCAGTCCTGGGAACAGCTAAGATACTGCAGGACCCTCAAGCTCCCAGGCCTCTGGTAGAGGACCCGAGCTTGAAGGATAAACCGCCCAGTCAAGGGTTTGGACAAAGCTTCTGATTTAATGGTTTTTCTTTATTTTCATGACTGTTTACATTGTAGATTCTCACTGAAGCCATCACAAATTTGACCGAACACAGATGGAATTATGTAGAAAAAAGTGAAATAACTCCAAACATGTTTTATTTTTTAGATTCTTTGCTTTGATTGCTGCTTTGCTCACTCCTGGCGTTCTCTCCACGAGCTTCATGAGGTCGTCACCTGAAAAGGTTTCCAACAGTCTTGAAGGAGTTCAGAGATGCTGAGCTCTTGTTGGTCCTCCATCTCATCCCAAACCATC